ATTAGATAACTCAGAGTAAAACATAAATTAAATGCTGTCTAAAAATGTTATTAAAGTTTAATAATGTATTAAACCACTTTGACACAAAGTGTAATGTTGTCAACTGATTGTGTGTGACTCAATTGGTTGTCATTCGAGCATTGCTAATGAGTTATCTGAATGTATTTTTTTTCAACAAATTAAATACATCAACGTTCTCCCAATTAAATCATCTCATCTGAGACAAGAAGAGTCAACTGTCTTTTTTGATTGCTGGAATTGGCATCAACAACTAAGTTAGATAAGATATCATTTTGATAGAATTAAAGTAAGACATAGAACTACACTGAGGAAAAAAGATATGGTCAAAACCTCCCGGATATGGTAAAATTTACCATGTTTGTTGATCTATGAGAACATAAAAATTAACGGTAAATCTTGCCGTAGCACTTTGGTTATGATTTTGGTAAAATTAACTTTAACTTAATAATTAAATATGGTTCTATAATGTACGATAAAATAATGTACGATAAAAATTTCATAATGTACGATATGGTTTTATAATGTACGATGGAAAAATGTAGTAAAATTTTTTAATTTTATCATGACACCTTAAAGAATGGTATAAAAATCATTTATTTTATTGAATTTGCTTTTCAGTTTAGTATTTTTTACTAATGCGTGGTGATAAGAAATACAATTCTGAAAACCGGAATTTTGGGACCGGAAAAATTACTAAATAAATGGTTTAAATACAGTATATTTTGGTGTAATTAACCAAAATTATTGCTTGTTTTGGTCAGAAATGTCATTACCATACAGTATTGTAATTTTACCAGAATTTCTTTTACCATTTAGAGATTGACTTTTGTCATCTTGTTTTATGTTTAAGGATGTAGTAAATGATGTGAACAAAGAAATAAATTTAAGCTAAATTTACTCAATAAAGCTCATCACATCACAGGTCATTTGATTTCTATGTTTGTTTGTTTTTTTTATTTTTTTATCAGTTATTCATAACGACTTGTTCAAGTAATTATTCATAAATTAATCAAACATTGCAAAAACATACGCTCTCGAAAAAATGGTTCAGTGTTAAACCATAACTCAGTACAAATTTTCTGCATTGATAAGGTGCCAAAATGAGATGTGTCTTTCCTCTAGTTGAGTTACAGTATCGTATAATCAAATTTAATATTTATAATATGGCTCAATTTAGCACCATATTAAAAGTCCAACATATTTACATGGAATTATAATTCATTGCACGCTTATAGAATTATTATTCTGAAAATACGACAAAATGACATTTTTTTTACCTTTATGGTTTTGAAACCGTTTACAACTGGTTAGGAAACCGTGAATACAGAACTATATAGTTTTGTAATCATTTTCAACTAGCACAGTGTCTAAACCTTAAAAATGAAACTTAAACGGACATTGGAGCTGTGTGGGTACTGCGCCATTTATGCGTGAATGATGGTTTCATATTCTAGAAAATAGTTTAGGGACCGTATTTTAATAGTCCAGGTACTGATTGAAGAGTGCAGAACACTGGAAACTCTTCATGCATTGAAGAAATGAAAGAAATATTTTAGAATTAACGCTGAGATTTGAACCCCTGTTTAACCGGTCATGTGATTGACTATTTAGCCTTCTCAGCTACAGTATGTACCCAGATGCCTGGAACAAAATTTCTTGTAGTTGGCTCGGATAGAATTCTGGTTGTCTAGCCATATTAGGAAAAAGCAATCAACAACCATTTTCTCGCACACGAAACAAATTGAATAATAGTTGTTTTTTATGGCTATTCAACCATTTTTGTTAAATATGATCAAAAAGCAATTAAATAGATTTATATTTAACCATCTTTATTGAGAAATTCGTAATAGTGAGCTTCGAAATTTCTAATAGTCAATAAATTTATAAGGAACTACCTACACTTTAAAAAAGAACGTTATATTTTTTTTAATTGAACATATAAATATTTTTTTCTATTTTGCTCGTTTTAAGAGTAATATAAAACAGGCATTGTGACCCTGAAATTCATTTATCTTTATATTTCGAATGCATCAGACTGTTTTTAGCTTTTCTCTTTGCATGCCAATTGATCGCATTGTTTGTTTATTTTATATCAGTTTATTCTATTTCTTGAAAGCTCTATTAATTCGGTGGTAAAGCATGCTATACTTCGTTCTATTTCGATGATTGCATGTAAATCTTGAATGTGTTTTTACACGCAATGATTACAGTAAATTAATACCATAAAGTATTTCTGTAGAGATCTTAAATTGTATAAAAGTAAAACTTAAATTTGCTGATTTTTTTTATTTCAGAAAACTGATTATAGTTTTTAGCATCGCTAATGTTTAAATGTATTTAGAAAATTGTTTTAGAGTTTTAGAAACATACTCACAGAACAAGGAGCAATTTACGCATAAATTAGCTTACTTGCAATGAGTACATTGAATAAATACCACAAAAGATTTTAAATTGTATGGCATAAGAGCAAAAACTGAGTTTACTATCTTCCTATTTCGAAAACATTATTTAAAGTTTTTAGCATCGCTATATATAAATGAATTTAGAAAATTTTAGTAGATTAGTATCCTACTCAGAGTAAGCGCAGCAATATGCATATAAATTAGTTTATTTCCAATGTATTCATTAAATAAATACCGCAAAAGATTTTAAGTTGTATAAGAACAAAAATGGATATCTTTCTATTTCAGAAAATTTAATTTTAGCATCGTTATGTTTAAATGCATTTAGAAAATAATTTTGGAGGTTTAGTATCATACTCAGAGTACGAGCAGCAATATACATATGGATTAGTGTATTTCTAATGAATACGTTAAATAAATACCACAAAAGATTTTAAATTGTATAAGAACAAAAATTGAATTTACTATCTTTCTATATCAGATAATTTAGTTTTAGCATCGTTATGCTTAAATGCATTCAGAAAATAGTTTTGGAGGTTTAGTATCATAATCGAAATACGAGCATCAATAGGCATATGAATTAGTTTACTAGCAATGAATACATTAAATAAATATCGCAAAAGATTTCAGAAAGGATTTTAAATGGTATAAAAGCAAAAATATAATTTGCAATGTTCCTATTTCAAAAAAATTGATTAATATTTTTATGGTCGCTATATTTAAATGCATTTAGAAAATTTTTTTGGAGGATTAGTATCGTACTCAGAGTACGAGCACCATAAATTAGTTTATCAATTTTAAAAAATGAATCACATACGTAAAAATCAGATATGAAGCTTGTGTTCCATTTCGAATACATTAAACAACTTTTTCGGAAGAAAATCTTTTGTAAAAACTAGAGAATAATTATTTTATAAGACAAAAATCAATCGACATTATTAAAAATCAGATCCTCAGTTGAGTGTGCAATGAATTTTATCTCATAATCTATCCTAATAAATACCACTCATTGAGTGAAATAAACGAGCAACCTAAAATTAAAATTAGAAATATTAAATCTGTACCTAAACGAATTGTTTCGCTGAAGTTAAGCCAGTATGACATTTCTTATACCATTTACAAATTATATGAGTAAAACACACGCCTGGTAGCAGAGTTTGTTGTGTAAAATTAAACGAGAATTAACAAACTGCTTATCCAATAACTCTTGTTAAATTCATAATTTCTGTCATCAATTAGATGAAGTCATTCATCAATTTATTATTTTTATAGTTTAACACCACTAACTGAGGAGGAAAAGCATTTTGTTTGAATTTGTCATGATTTTTTCTCCTGAAACAACAGAAAGAACTATAAACGAGTTGTGGTGGTTGCAAATTGGTGACAAATAATAAAAATCTGGAGGAAATTATCGACACTTACTTAACAGAGCTAATTACTTATAATATACAAGTTTAGCCTGTCTATTTCCTGAACTAAGTTAACAACTCCTGAAAATATTACGTTAATTACACGCTAATTCAAAATTTTTCCAAATAATCTCTCTCTGTTACAATGCATTTCTGTTCTCGGCTGTTTAAATTTTTAAAACAACATTTAAAGTCTTCTTTCGAAAGCTCTTCAATTCTGATGTTGGGACTTTTTAAACGTCAACTATATCCTCAAACAACATTTCTTTATTAAATTTTTGGGCTTCGGAAGTCGAGAAAATAAAAAATTCACCATAATATTAAAATTTCATATGCTTCAAAAACTTATAAAGGTGGTAAATGTCGGTAACGTGTCGACTTTTATCGCCATCATAAGTTTTTGAAGCAAATGAGGTTTGTATAGCATCAAGTGTATTTTTCCGTTTCCGTTTCTCAGGATTATTCTTTTGTTTCCCCCATTCTTTTTAAACAAATCTCTTGCAGACCTTTCCTAATGACACTTGGATAATCCAAGCTCGCCAGAGTTTGGTCTCTTGCGAATTAAGTCACAAAGATGCTCCTTTCGTTTGACAAGATAGCCCTGTAAGGTTGAAAGCACGTCTTTGTTCAGAAACTCACGGATAGATGGCAGCACCACTCATTCGTGAGGCCACTTCCTCAATTTATACATATTTCTGAAAGGTAAGAAAATTTTCTAAAGATCCCTGTACCCGTGGTATTGCTTAACGACCGACCGCAGGACTTTCGATTTCACGGATTTAACAAGCATATACATCGCATGCATACTTAGCGGAGTCTAAAAACGAACCCCGGTCCTTCCGAACCGTAGTCCAATTCTCTAACCACTGGATTATCACGTCCCGGCATGCATTTCTTTACTCCCGAAACTGAAGAATTTGCTACAGGTCTTAAGGGTTAAGTTGGTTAAGGATGGCGAAGACATCAAGAAAACTCCGTTGTCAGATTTGAAGAGAATTTCGAAAAAGGGCATTTAAAGTTATTTCAGAAATTTTTTCAGTCGAGTGCAGAAGGGCATTGCATCAAGTAGGTTTTACTTTGAAACTTTTTAAATAAATATGAAAAAAGCATTACATTTTCAGGCTTTGTAAAATTAGTCCTGGACACTTCTGTATCAAAATTATTTTACCTGCTTAGTATTTCAGAGATATTCGAATGTTCTGTGAAATTAACCATCTCGTAAAGTTCGTGGTAAATTAATCTAAGAGCTTCTTCGGCCAGTTCCAGTTTGTGGTGTTTCTTCTTCTTTGTTTCTGTAACGGGAATGCTGTTAGCATTCACCTTGAGGGGTTTGTCGTCGTCCATCCTTAACTTGCTCTTGGTCTTCAAGAACTCTTCAATGGATGACCGGACATCGGAGTCCACCTCAACAACAGATGCGGCGTCACCATTCTCGTGTACAAGCACCAGAGCAAGCACAGAAATTACCAGAAACTTCTGGAAATTATGCTTCATTACTGTTTTCTAATTTATAGATACCTAAAAAAAAATTTAAAAAATTAGTGTTTTTGTTTTATTTGTCCCTCTCGCTGTCATTGAAGGAAATATGTATGCACGCAATAAATCATGCATACATTGCAAAAATTTCCGGATCAAATTACGGTATAAAGTTAAACACACTTGTTGAAAGTTGAAAAGATACATTTTGGATCCGTAAAGTCCATTTTACCTAAAATTTCTTTCAATCGTAAAATATTCAACCGTAATTTTTACAGTAATATTTAATTAATTAGAATTATCCAGTGATTTTACGGTGATTATTACTGTAAAAATTGCAGTCTATCGGATTTTATGTTCCATAACGCGTACCGGTAAAAATGGATTTTACAGTAAAAAGTACGGTAAAATTAAGTGTGTTGTAAAAGTACCGGCAATTTCAGTGCCAGTATTTTTAACAGCACATTGTGCGCAAGACACATTGCATGCAAGGGAAATTCACCATGATGAGAAATGAATGTCACAAAAAAAATTATCTATCCTTTGTGAGGAAATACAAATCTCTGAGCAGCATGTTGTTAACAATTTTTTTTTTCATATGAAGCGCTTGTAGAAAAAGAATGATACTCCACATTTTTAAACATATTCACAGAAAAACATCATAGTTTCCATTTATATAATGATATTTTTCTACTTAGGAAACTTCTGAATTTTATAAAATACTTCTCTAGAAACTATACATAGCATTCGTTGATTTAAAAGGCACCTATATTGCTCAAACCCTTCATATATAGCTGACTTAAATCTCACAATGTGTTATTTATTTATTTTCTAAATTTAACAGTTTCTATAACAGTTCCATAACAGTTTCATAATTTTCTATAACAGTTTGAATGCAGCAGTAAAATTTTGCTGTTACAGTTAATTTTTTTTTTTAAAAATTTCATTAAAAAAGCAAATAGGTGATTTGATAAATATTGTTCCATAATGAATTTTGATTATGAATCAAAATTGTTATGTATATATTTGTTAAAGATTCCCAAATTTGTTATAACAATATACTTTTATTTTTTAAAGCTATTTTAAAAAAATTATTATTTAGAAAAATTACTCATGTTCACTAATAGATCTTACTAGAATCATAAAGACAAAATTTGGACGTGGGAAGGGGGGGGGAGGAAACGTAAGAAAACAGAATTATTTTTAGTACACGTATAATTTTAAGTGAATAATTTCAACTTTCGTAGAAATATACCAAGAAACAACGATTATCAAGAAGCAGTCATGAAGGTTGATGAACAGCAGCAAACAGGTAGCTTAGCCCCCTAATAATTTATAAAATTGATTAATAATAATAGATTATATTATTACTGTTTTTAAGTCTATTTTTGATTATTATATTCCCGACAAAAGAAATATTTCTGGGAAGTTGACTTATAATAAAATACATACGGTTGTCAAAGTTACCGCAATTGTAGGGACAAATTTTCTGACCTTTTTTTAAATTTTTTTTAAAAAATAAAAAAATGAAAGTATATTTAAACACCAAATAACTATACTTTGAGTCAAGAACCAATCCAGTAATTTTTCCCCTCACTAACTAATATAGAAAGCCCAAGAAATTTCTATTTGAAATTTTAAACTATTAAAAGTTATCGGAAATCAGTTGATAGTAACAGCGCATTTTCTTAAATCCATATTTTCAAATTTTTAAATGTATAGGATTTTGAGAATTTTATTTTCAAAAAGTAAAAAAATGCATTTTTAAATACAATTCCAATAAATTAAACATTTTACTTTTCATTGAGTAAAAAATGAAGTCCTTTATTTTACATGTGTACTAACTATTAGAAAAATTACGTTGTATTGTATTACGTTGTATAAGTTATAAATCAAAGTTATAAAAATAAAACATAATCAATTATAAAAACAATGGCATACATGACGAGTTAATAATATGTTAAATAATAAATAAAAACAACAATTAAAAAAAAGAAATTTATCAAGTTTGTTATTAATGCTTTATTACAAAAAAAAATTAGGGGTATATCTAAAATGGTTTTTATACCTTGAAAAATTACTTAGAATTCTATTTTAATCCATTCCTAATTTTAATAAATGAAAAAAAACATTTTGAAGGAAAAGTTCATTATTTACGATTTTTTTTATTGTATATCGAATTAATAGGTACTAGTAGTAAAAGTGTTAAACAAGATTAAATATTTAACGAAAATAAATATTTTTATTGTCATTTTTGTAAATATTTTTTATTCTTTTCCATTTACCTGCATTAACAGAATTTTCCAATCCCTAAAAAATAAATCCTTCGTCTTTGAAAAACATCTTTCTAAATTATATTTTAACAATAATTACTTACATGAAAAAAAGAAACCATTTTACTTACCCGAAAACAAATCTTGTAAACACACAAAAGAATTATTTTAAACCAAATAACAAAAATCAACTGCAAACGATTTTATAATCACACAGGAATAAAATATCCCAATCTTCAGAGCATAAATACAATCACATGTTCCTTACATAAAGGAATGCACTCTTTTGCCGGGTCACACACTCATTCCCTACATCAAGATTTTTTCCCCCTCACCTGAAGCAGGACAGGGATCTCAGAGAAGGTGAGGTTTTTTTGGCGACACCTTGGCGATTTCTTAATGTTTTTTTACCAAAAAAGAAGACCGAGAAAGAAATCACTCGTTTAAAACCAGTCTAATCGTGACCCCAGGTATTTTGACCCTCTTCGTGTAGCATTTTCTGTTTGACTTCAGATCATTGCAAAGTGTTCTGTAATTTTATTTAGAGTTCAAAAAGTGGTTAATTTTTATGAGGTATTTTGTGGCTCTTTCGAAAGATGGAAAATGATCGATAGTGTTTTTACACCAACCGCAAAGCAATTTGTCACTTAGTGTTAAAATGGAAGAAAATTCTGGGGAATTTAAAGATCATCAATCTCAGCCATTAAATTTTAAAAATTTATACATGTTTCAGTTTTTTTTCCTAGATTAGACAAATCCTTCAGAAATTCAGGAATATATATGTTTCGTAAAAAAGAATCTTGTATAAATTAAAATAATGCCTGAATAACAAATAATAATACAAATTTGATTGATTTCCAAAAAAGTCAATTTTCGCAACTGTGAAGAGCATTGTATATTGCTTAGTTTAAAAATTATTCTTTAAAACTATTAGAAAAAAGAAATAATTTTTTTAAAAAAAACGATTCTAGAAATAGGGTTTTTTTTATATTTGTTTCTAATTTTCCATGTTAAGTTGTTATTGTTCTTCTTTTAGTAAAATGTTTTTGAAGTAAAAATTTTTTCTACAGCTACACAATTTAGGCTATTAAAAAAATCTAACCTCACACCTTTTAAATTAGGGTGCAAAATCTTCATCATATTGCAAGTCGTACAGCAATCAGATCTTAGGAAGAAATTTATTAATTAAAAAAATCTTTCTGTGTCTTATTTTATTCTAAAAAATTGCTTTAAAGCTGGAAGAAAAGCAAAACTGTGTAATAAAACCCTCTTTAGAAATCATTGTTCTTATGTATTATCGGGCCAATTTCCAATTTCAAGTTTTGTTGAGTAAAATGAAGTCTTTTCGATTAAAAAAAAAAATTATTCTACACTCATTCCCTGCAAACTATAATCTATAAACTACTAAAAAATTAAAAAACTCTTCTTTGCACATTTTTACGAGAAAAAACACTAATTAAAAGCTTTTATTTACATTATCATTAGGATATCTTGACCATAGGTTGCGCCACTGGAAAACAAGAACAATCGCTCCCCTTGCCTTAATGGCATACGACACAACAACATTAGGATACAAAACCTTAAATCATTTTGCCACGTCACAAATTGTAAAACAATCTAATAGTATACAATCTAAAGGATGCATATATATGCTATCCAAAGAATATTCGGATAGGTTTAGTTTTATTCCAAATACATAGTTTAAAGCAGAGAAATTAATCTGAATTTTTGAAAAAATGACTCTAGAAATGTTAATTTTTTGCGTTGTCTTATAACATTCAATGTAAAGTTTATGTTATTTAGTACTACATATAAAATTTTGAGTATAACCAATTATTTCAATGATATAGTTGTATGTTAAACAGTTTCTAAAACCTTATTATAACACATTTCTTAAAGAAATCAAAGCAGAGTTTTTATCCTTATGATACAAAATCTGTTATCATTTCATCACATCACAAGTAGTAAAGCAATATAATGTTATACAGCAGTCTTCTGCCGAAATAATATCTCGATATTCCTTCTTTTCTTCAAAGATAGAACTTTTAAACTAGAAATAAGACCCAAAAAAAATTTCAGAAATAATTACTCATAATGGCGTTTTTTTATTGTATTATTGTTTCTCTAATTTTAAACTTTAAGTTTTTCTTGATTGAAAAAAATAATTTTTAACCAACAAACTATTCAACAAAGACCTTCCTTAAGTAGTTAAACACTTAGAAACTCCATTTAGCATGTTTCTCAAAAGAATATTTAAAAAGTATTGTTTTTTAACATTAGAGAACAACACTCCTTAACAAATTCAATGACATTACAAACCATTAAACTGGAAAAATAAATATTATAATTATAATAATTGAAAGAAGTGAAGTTGTTTCAGGTGGTAATAGGAACGACAAGCATTCTAGACTTTTCAACCCTTGGAGTAAAATGCTGTCTAGAGCCCCTCACGTTCCTACATTTCATAAACTTGAATAATTCTTTTCGTTCGCCTAATGTTGGACCTTTTTAAGCCCCGCGTCTGAAATAGGTAGGTAATTTCTTTGACCTGCATTTCAACTGATAAAAAACAAATCTAATATCAACTAAGCATAAAAATTTATAAATCTGATTTTGCACAGAGGTAGAAGGTTCTTGAAAATAACTTAATATTTTAAGCCAAGTTTTCTATTTCCGAAAATATAAAATCATATAATATAGTACAACACAATTGCTTATACATATAAGGTTGTTGATGTATTGGGACCAATGATAATTAACAAATACCACTTACAAAGAAGCTATATTTTGCATTGAATCATTTTACAGTACGGTATTTTGAAGAAACCTCATATTTTGAAGGCATAAATTACGCTAAACATACAGAGCGCAAAAAAAGCGTCAAAAAGTTGTTTTTTAATTCTATTTTCTGAGTAACTACTTTTCTTAATTTTAAGATTTCACTAAATTCGTTGAGGCCTTCTGGTTGGGGGCAGGGAATCTTTGGATCTTGGTGAGGAGGTCGCTGCTCTGCGCGCTCGGCGCCCAACCTACATTGGTTATTGCAATTACATAAATTGTCAGGCTTGTGTGCTCAAAATAGGCTTATAAACCTTCGTCAAGTAGAAAAGGACAGATACCACAATAGGAGAGACAGCACCAAGTAGTACCGCCACCCAACCTTCATCAAATAGGGTTTTCCCTGAAGTTGCTTCTGCCTCCCTTGCCCATTTTTCCGACATGTTGCCATGGATCGCCACCAAGCCTACCTTTTTGAATCCTCTTTTTCTTTTGCTGAGAGGTCACGTGTGCGTACTGAGAGTCTACAGTATTCTCTGGATGCGCCCTGGCGGGGGCGGAATGGGGCTAAACTTTGATGTAAAATTACATTCTTTTCGACAATTATTAAATAAAGTTATAATTATTTGCTAAAAGTTATTTTTTGCGGGGAATTATTTTTTGATGATTAAATTCTATGCAAAAATTGTCCAATTCGCTTATAAGGGTTCAGGAGTTATGGCGCAGTACACAAAAAGTAAAATTAACATCATTTGTTTCCAATAACAGCATAACANTTTGCAATTACTCTCTATAATTTGGAAGTCAAAAATCCGAATCCGTCGAGAAAAAAGGTGTGGTCATTCAGAGAAGGTACTTTTTTGTGTCAGATCTTGCAACTTAAAATATCGTCTGCACTAATCAATTAGCATATTTGAGGTCACCCCTTCGAACCATTAAGATTGTGTCCAAGAATGTGAAGAACCGATCAATAGTTATTCCGGATGGTCCGCTTTTTGTTTCACCCACTGTACATATAATAATTTCATATAAGACTTATGCTTGTACTTATACTCAACTTAATTTCATATAGCACTTATACTTGTACTCTCTAATATGTGTGCTGGCGTGTTGTAAAAAAATAATGAATATCGATGGAACTTTTGTCTTTCCTTTTTCAATTTGTTGTGTTTCTTTTAAAATATGGAGGAAACAAGAGAAATGATGCAAAACTTTCGCAGAGGAATACACTAAGATTTCTAAGATAGTGCAAATTAATATTCTAATCAAGGTTTTAAAAAATATCTATAAACTCTTCTTCGCCATACAAGGCTTTCAGTTTCATGAAAATGCATTTCATAAAGCTCTAACCTAGTTTAAAATTACGTTGAAAGAATGTAAATTAACACATTAAAATCTGTGTCAGATATATTTCACTTTTTTAAATTTACGTGCACACCCAGCGCTGCTTATTTAATTGAAAAACCGAGTGCATGAACGTTCTAAGTAACATTGAAAGGTGTAAAGTAAAAAAATATGCGATAAAATATTTCTGTTACATTCCTGGAAAAAATTTCGTTCCTTAATACTGCAGAGAAAAATTTACCGAAAAATTACATCTCAATCTGATAAAATACATATTTTTCGGTAGACTGATAAAACCTGTGACCATTGATACAGATTTTATATGCCAGGTAGGGATTTTTCACAATTTCAAGTAACAAAATTCTAATATCAAGACAATAACAAACAAAACATTTTGATATTATACTTCTTTCGCCCAATCGAATTCCTCTAAACATCATCTAAATTTCGTGCACACTGTAAAAAAATTCCGGATTGAATTACGGTATAAAATACCGGCACTTCGCGTGCATCATTCGCAAAATCCATTTTTACCGTAAAATATTATACTGTCATTTTTAAAGTAATATTTATCTAATTAGAGTGATTCAGTGATTTTACGGTAATTATTACTCTAAAAATTTCGGTATATCAGATATTTGTTCCGTAACCTATTTCAGTAAAAAATGGATTTTGCGGTTAAATATACCGGCACCTTGAGTACTGGTACTTTTTACCGTAATTTGATCTGGAATTTTTTACAGTGTGCTCAACAATTTTCTGTAGTTTTACTTTACCAAACCTGCTTGATGAAAGTGAACAGTCGCGTTAAGTCTGCAGCTGTTTCCTTACTCATTTCATCCAGTTACCAGATCCAAAAGTTTCTGTTTCGATCCTAGCCGGTGGCCGGCAAACATTTTTTCTGCAAGCATTCGTACCGATCATCAGGCTATTCTATTTGTTTTCGACAGATGCCAAACACAAAAGCATGGTTTGACAGAATTTTTATGTATATTCAATGGTAAAAAAATGTAAAACTTTTGCTTTTTATTTAACCTGGATGCCGAAGTCTTATTATGAGGTTTAGCGCAAACCCTTGTTTCCAAGAAGGACCAAACTGAAAAGCTCATTGGATTGATGAGCAAAGTGACCTCTTATGTCTTGTAAAAAAATGGGAGCAGTCTTGTGCTATTCTTGAACGCTTCTATGTGTTAGAACAAAATTCTCTTAGAAAATAATTTTTCCGTTTTCAAATAACTTTTTTGCGATAGTAAGCAAAG